ATCATCTGGGTGCTTCATCATGTACTGAAGCAAACTGTTACTCCCTCACAAAAATCACAGTCAGAGAATTCATTAGTCTATTCTCTCACCCGCCTACCATTTCTCACACTAAATGGAGAGTATTTGTGATCTTAAGCAATCACGTTTCTAAGGCAGAGAGTGAAAATCTGCTATTAGAATAGTCCATCACCACAGGCCTTTCCTTCCTTCCTCCTACCCGCCCACCCACAAGCTTCAAGTAAAATAGTTGCAGCTCACTGGGAACAGACGAAGGCACCTCACATGCAGCAAACTGAGCTCATGCACGTTGCCCTGTAGAAGTTCCTTCTTAGGCCAGGTGCACACAGATGAACACCACTTGGTACATACACGTTTGCACCACAGCCAATCTTGCCCTGTTACTGGGCCAAACTAAACCATCCTAATTAAAGAAACATCAGCAAAATTTGTCAACACTGTTTCAGAAGTTAAGAGGTCCAAGAGTCAAAGCATACTCAAACTCTCACAGAAAACACTAACCTGCCTCTAGGTAAGGCCACCCAGCTGCTCTTCTGTGGAAAGAAGTGGATGCTGTCTAAGGATTTAGCAATTAAGAAAACAAGGCACATGCAAGTATTCACAGTTCTGGCAATGTTATTTTAACCTCTCCAAAGCGTGTCCACTGTGCTTAGACTATTACTTCTTCCCCTTCAGCTTTGGAGGATTTGCGACTCTCTAGGTTGCCCCTCTTACAGATCAGGAGGGATGGGAAGCAAAGCACTGCAGCCACCAGCGCCAAACTGCTGGTCTGTAGGTTGTGTGAAAAAGACAGACATGCCATACTGACCTGAAGATACAGGTTTTACAGCCTCTTCACCCAAGCAGACACCTAATTACCTTGACTCACCTTACTTACGTGTGCTACATCTTGGCAACATCCTCATCTCCTAAAAAGGATGACAACCAATATTCAAGTCTCAGGACCTGGACAAAACAAATCTTTCTTCTGCTACCTTGCTAATAAAATAAACCCCCTGTACAATAAACCTGATCTGTTGATTACAGGATATCTAAAGTCTTAAATAACTAGAAGGAAAGTTAGAGGACTTTGCACTCACAACAGGAAATCTTGGCCACCTAATTTTCCAAACAAATCAATACTTCAGATCCAACCAACTATTAGTCACTTGGCTAGCAAGCAAGACTGAACTTACATTAATGAACACCAGACTGCATTAAAATGTAGTTTAAGTTTAGCAATATGCCAGAATAATCTATGGAACAAGGAAATGGACAGGGTTGAAACTTCAGACTCTTTTATTTCTTGCTACTTAACACTCATGAATTAAAAATCAGTACAGCAGGATAGTTTGAGACAAACCCTAATGTCCTCGAAGGAAGGATGTGTTAGACCCATTAGCCCAGTGCTGCCAGGCACATCACTAATCCTGCAGGACTGGGGAGGACAGGGACAAGACACTTTCCCCAAAGAAGGAAGAATTTACATCACCTCCTCTTCTGCTCTTGACTTCCTATTCCCTCATGCCCAAACCATCTTTTTATGTAGATGGGACTGGTACCAACTCTGGATTTATTATAGTGAGGAAGCCTGTCACAGAGCTACTCAAACTATTTCCTTCTGTCATTAAGAATGACCACACAGTGAATAGGAACACATTTACAGTATTTCATCTTAAGTATCATATTCTAGATTATTTGCAAGGCCACTAATGACTCCAGTAAGATTGGTCAGCCAAAATCCAAATCATACCACCCTTGGGCGGAAAGCTAAAACAAATGCAAAGGATCCGATATGTGACACTAGCCACACACCATGGAAGAGCAATTTTTCCATTCCTGAATCTCACCTCAGCAATGCTCCTTGAAGTTCTTGTGCAATAATCACTATGCAAATAGTATGTAAAGCTCTTGGACAAAAAACCAGTTTTTCCTCACAGGTGCTTTGTAAAAGTTAACTTTTGACAAATTTACTACACAGTTGCACTTACCACAGGGAAGAGGAAGGAAAACTGGTGCTGTACAGCCGAGAGAGATTCCTTCTTCTGTACAACCTGCAATTTAGGTACATTTTGTATACGAGATGTATAAATTTCACCATCACGGCAACTCAGAAAATATTCATGAAGCTGACTTGCCACATATCATTTAAACTGGATTAATACTCTTTTCCTTTTAAAGGCACCAGTTAGGGAGATTATCCAAAAGAAAAAGAAAAAAAAAAAAAGAAAAAAAGAAAATCACGTTACGTTTACATTCAAAAGTAACAGTTGTCTTTCGATTCAGTAGCGTGTTTCTCAAACACCCCTATGCTTATTCTTCTACCAAAAAGGCAGTTACAGATACCTAATCTTCAAAGTATGTAACAGAATTAAGCATTAATTTACTCTAAAATTTTAAAAAATAAAAATCAAGTATCTTTCCTTTGTAACTCCCCTCCTCCCCCCTGAAATTAGCCTTAAGTCCTAACTTGTTACTCCTTCAACATAGACAACTATCTTTGCATGCATACGTAAAGACAACAGTTCTTTCCAACCACTTCATAGCAACTTAAGCATTTAATACATACTCCTTTAAAGAAATTTGAGTGAATTTATTGTATAAAATTATGATTGGCATGGTACAGAAAAGTTCCTTTTAATGCACATTTCCCATTAACTTGTACACAAATATTACAAGTATCAAGCAAAATGCAAAAGTCTTAAGAACTAATTCCATACTACAAAAGTGTTCACATAGTGAAGTTACTCTGGTTACAAAGTGTCATGGAAATAAAAGCACTTCAAAATACATATTTGGGAAATGTTCTCAAATAATCAACACAATCTTAAGTTAGTTAAAAAATGCAAAGAAAGAGATACCCTCTTCAAAACACTGTTGTTGATTTGGCAAGATGGAGCAAAGTTCAGATCAGTTCATTTACTGAAGGATTGTTCTTCCCAAGAAACAAACAAACAAAAAAAAAAAAAAAAAACCCAAAAAAACCCTAAACCAAGCAAACCCAAACTTTTAGTTAAGAAAGGGCTCAGTTATACTATGATGACAAATAACGCCATCAAAAAGTTATCTGGCTCTCTTGTTTTCACACAGGAGCTGTCAGAGGCAGAGATGTGTAAATGAACACTTCCAGGTATACACAGATTACCTTTTTGAAAACAAACCAACCAAACAAAAATACCAAAACCCAAAACAACAAAAAGGAGACAATCTGAACTTTGTTGTTTCATTTAACTAGTTCAGTTCCTTAGGTCTCAAGGCCCAAACCCAGCAGTCTGCAAAGGATACATACTTAAAGAATAAAACTGAACTTCCACTACCAGAGAATGCACAGATGCCAAGTTACGTGAATATCATACGTCCTTACAGTAAGGCTGCTAGAGGCTATCAAATCTCTGCTTCCCAACAACCTTGAAGGCCTGCTATTTTCAACACAATGAAACTGCTTGGGCCCTACAAACAGCCTTACAAAAAGGAGGCACAATCATATTGTTAGACAATAACACAAATCTTGAAGACTGAAAGCATCCTTACAAACTTCAGCAAAATAACTACAAAATAGGCAATACATCACTTTTTCTATCAGGTGACTTGCATGTGTTTGAGCAATTAAACATTGGTATGTATATCTACATGAAACTCACACATACAGAAGATCCTGTTCAGGCGTTATTGTTGTTTTCCTTTTACGCACACACACAAGTTACTATCGGGTTATCCAGTCTACTCAAATGCAGTGAAAAAACAGTCCACAGCACACGTAAAAGGAGCATTATCCAATACAGTGTTATCTTGCAAAAAAGGAGTCAGAATTCCTGAGTCTCAGACATTACTGTCCTCCTCCATTACTGGATTATTTATTTTTTCCAAGGAGAACCTCTAGTTTTCCTTTCTTCATGCTAATAAAATTTATAATAGATTGCATCTTTTAAAAAAATGTAAAACTTTTAGAAAAAATATGCCAACTAAAGTGAATTTTTAAAGCTTTTTAAGGGGCTGGGGTGGGGGGGGTATAATTCACTTACAAAATAAAGGCCACCTTCACGTAAAATAAGTACTGCCAGTATCCCATCATTCTGTTTAAAGGAGGGATTTAGCTCCCTGTTCTGGAAGCATTATTATGAGCAGTCATGCAAGTTGAAAAACTTCCTCCTTTTAACAATTAAAAATACTATAAATAGGACTAACATGGAACAGCCCTTTGTTACAATCACCAAGGTGGCAAAACCAATGCAACAGTTAGGTCACAAAGTCTTTTACAATTAGTCACTGCAATCTATTATAACTTCTGTCTTTTCCCTTTTACTTTGCATATTACACAGTGTAACTTAAAATGTTATTTAAGAGCACTTCAGTCCCACAATGTAGGATTTAAGCTTGTGTGAATACATATGCATGGCTCTGCAACATTTTTAATGACTTACAAAAATACATTCAACCAAAACTCTGTATAGGGTTTTTTGTTTTTCTTTTTCTTTTTTTTTTTTTTTTTTGTTAAAATCAAAATGAAGGAAAAGCCAAATGGTCCCATCATTAGCTAAATAATACACTCCAACTTCCGGAAGCAATTCCAAAGCAAAAGCACATTCAAGAATAATATACACTGAATTGCATACTTTCTCATTTGTCTTTATCGGTAATAAAATTCTACTGCATATAATTAATCAGCCTTATAAATAATGCTAAGCAGAAAAATATTTACCTCTGTGCTACTTTTCTCAGTTTATAGAAGCATTTTTCAGTTTATAGAAGCAAAGGAAAAAAACCTAAAGTGCAGACTACAGGCCATAACAGGCATAATAAATGACCAAAGGTGCAGCCAAATTTGCGTTTACATCTTAAGTTACTTTGCCATCTTTCTTTCCTTGCTAGAAGTCACCCAATGTGCAACTGAAGAGCTGGTCGGTTGGTTTGTGCCACAGTACAACCTGTAACCACTGGTAAATTCTTTTTTTTTTTTTTTTTTAAACTAGTTGAATTGTCCATAGGTATTTCTAGGCAATAGCTTAGGCTCGCAAAACCTTACTTTATTAATACTTGAAATCACACGATATTGACACCTCCTCCAGAGAATGCTACTGTCCTTTTGTTGCAGTATGTGGTTGAACCACTGATGCTTGGTTGACTGTCTTTAACAAGTGATGTCTTCATTTCTATTTCACACGCTACAATAGCTGCATTCAGTTCCACTTGAGCTCGGTGAACGACATAAAACGTGAGTCCTATGCTTACGACAATCTGCAACAACAACAACAAAGAGTGTTGTAGGCTACATAAACTGTAAGCACGAATACAAACAAACTGTTCTGAAGAAACAAAAAAGTCACCTATGCAAAGATTCATGGAGGCATCTGTTGGCTCCATGCTTCACAGGCAAGACATCAGATGGGAAATTAACTTGACGAATAAGTGGCTCTAAACCTACACATGCTAACAACATAACAGCATATCGGAACACAGACATTACGTGGACCTTAAATATTGATATAAACTGAAAATATGTTTTCTTTCTTTCCACTGACATCCAAATACTTGTTAAAAACCAATCCTTTCACTTCCTCTCTTGGCAAAAATACTTCCACAAAGAAACAATGTGGTGTATTTCTGTCAGTCAAAAGGGCTCTTTTCCCATGTGCCAAGTAAATAATAGGTTGAAATTGTACTGGGCAACTGCAACTTGCAAAATAGCAGAGAGGGGATGATGCAGACCAAAGGAAATAAAACTTCTTGTCCTTGCCCCTCTGGTGTGGAAGAGGGCAGAGAGCAGCAGTATCACTGTGCTTCTTGGCTATCATGACTAAATAGGACTGAGCAACTTATAGCAGTCCATATGGGAAGAACTTGTTTTCTGGAGGATGGCTCAGGGAAGGGGACTGGATGGTGGTGGTGTGGGTTTTGTTTGTTCGTTTTAAGCAGGAAATACTTGTCCAAAACTAGGGTTTAGTTCAGGTTTTTGCTCTTCATTTCACTACTAAGAATTTTAAGCTTCCGCCACAACAACTACCAGGAATAAACCCAGACAATTTTTGCTTAGAAATCACTAATTACTAAAAAAAAAAAAAAAAAAATAAAGTAAAATAGAAAAAAAAAAAAAATAACAAACACAAAAACCACCACCCAAAAAACACTGGGAAAAAAGTTACATTGTTCACAACAGAACCTCAAGTTTTGAGTCCAGCACCTGAACTTCATTATTAATTGGTACAGCTGTTTTCTGTGAGGACTATCACTTAAAACATCTGCTGGCATGGCATAAAAGATGCTAGAATATCCCCAAGTAAGATGACTGAGAAGTACAATCAGAGAAGAATGTCAGAAGTACAACTCAGAGCAGGGGGGCTGGAAGATCACACCAGGTATCTCAGCACTTTTGTCCAGTCAGGTGTTGAAAACTTCCAAGGATAGAGGTTTCACCACCTCTCATACCCTTGTGGTGAAAAAGATGTTTCTTATGAATTCAAATTATATATACAGTTCAAAAGCTGGCCAATGTAAGACTCAAAAGAAGACTATGGACACAAAATTCTGAATACATAGGAAAAGTCCTATTCGAAAAGCTTACCCAAATATTCAGATTTTACTGGGTTTAGAAATATTACTACCAGTAGCCTAGTTCTGTACATGTTTAATGATGACATAATGGCTATGTTCTGATATGCTAGTTTTGTTGTTAGCATACCTACTCTACAGATCTAGTCTACAAGCCTGGGAACAACATTCCACAACTAAAATGAAAGCTGATGAAGTAACCATTTATTTTCTCTTTGATCTATTTACCCCACATTTAAAAACGCATTTTTAGTACTCGTAACCCTGTTCTATGAAGCCTATAAATTAAATGTTCCACTTAAGAACACAAAAGTTGTGAGGTAAGGAGCATTAAAATGGTCCTCCTAGACGTAGTTTTATAACTTAGCACTGTTAAACATCAGCTTTACAATTGTAAAAACTGAGGAAGATAAATGACTGCAGTACCAAAGTCTGCAAACCACAGTAACTGTCAGCCAAACACAGCCTGAAGTACTGACACTGTCAGAGGAGGTTTTAATATATAATCTGGTTCTGAAATACTCATGACCTTACCCCAAAGATTTACTGACAAATTATTTCATCAGCTAAGCTTATGTAAAGGCACTATATACTTCTCATGAAATTACTCGCTTGAAAAATTAGGATATTCCGGTCTTGGCATTAGGAAAATATTATTTCTACACCACTTTACATCCTGAATACCTGTGCAAAATCTGAGTGTTCAGTGCTAACAGCGAACAATGCATAGGTGCTGGGTCTATGCACCCTGAACACACTACTTCACAGCTTTTGTGTAGTGGTGATCTGACACAACTGAAATTCAGCAGATTACCACCACAGATGGCAAAAGAAGAGAACTTGACAAAACTGTGGCAGAGAAGAGAACACTGCATAAAGTTCTTCTTTGTGTCATGTGAGGTATGAGAGAATTAAACTTTGCTAACAGAACAAAATCAAAAGAAAACAGTACACTGGAAACCAGTATCTCTGGGTATCTCACAGTCAATAAGGCTGGGAAAAAAGAAACGTCAGCTCAGTTTTACACAATCTACTGAAAATACCAGTAACAGTTATAAATTAAACCCTTTTTAAAATCTGCTACTTTTCAATACCACACACCATACTTGCTTGGCTCAGTCTCTACAAGGTCAGTTATCTCAGAGTAGGAATCTGTTATGCCAACAGAGAACAGCTCTTAACCCTCAAGTCATGCATTCCCCCAAAACATGCTGCAACCCACCCCTTTTACTCGAGGCTGTACAATGTGAAAGACAAATCTTTCTCTTTCTCACACATTCATATGGGCATTCAGTTTCCAAAGCAGAGATGGAATGACTTGAAGAGACAAAGCTACAGGAAGAAAACTTGTCTACTGTCTCCAGAAGAAAAATTCTGCCTTGAATCCCACTGGTACAATAGATGCACAAGAAATCAGGGGGATATAGAAATAAACTCAAAAAGATGACTGTTTCCAAGAGTAACTGCTTACCCAAGGAGTCATAAAGAGACTGACATTACTGTTACCAAGGTCTATGAAACTTATTCTTTTAACTTACCTGTAAACTGAATATCAAATAGCCACTAACACTTTGTTCTGCAATCACATCCTCCATGGTACGCAAAGTAGTGCCCAAGTAGGAGTTCAGGAGCTGAGTAGGAAGCAGTCCAACTGAGGAAGCCATCAGGTAGTTGGGTAGTGACAAATCTGTAATCTGAGTAAAAAAGAGCATAAGAAACGGAGCACAGTTCCAACAGTCTATGTGCACAAACAACCCGACCGCCACTCCTATGCAAAATAATGAAAGAATTTCTTACATTCCTTCACTGAAAGTTTCCACTGGGTGTGAATTAAAACACTATATGGATAGTCTTCATCTGGCCTTTCAAAAGTTCTTAGGTTTTATTTCATTTCACCTTACTTTACACAACATCTCTGTGCAGTAGTCATTAACTGAGGATGCAATTACATTGTTCATTGAAGATATTTATTTCTTCATGGTGAACTGAGCCCTACAATTTACGAGAATTGGCTTGCAGGAAAAAATTACTTTATCAAATGTGAAGGTCTAAAGCAAAAATCTATTTGCTTTGCATTTTACATGTATGGCAACTGATGAGAGGCAACTGTTTAAAACGTCATTGTATTCAATGATCTACGCAAACAGAACGGCAGATACAATTTGCCTCTGCAAAGGAAGTTATACAGCTCATTAAGATACATATATCTATCAATGATCTCTATCTGTATCTGCACAGAGATATATGGGTATCATTAAGAATCTCTACCCAAGATATTTTACATCACACTTTCATTAGTGAATGAAATAGCACACAGTTACAGCTTTTGTTAGTTTATCTGGAAAAAACACTAATAATACTTCAAAATATTTTCCTCTCTTTGCTGAAATTTCTGTTCTGAGTCAATATACGAACAGTTTATATGGGAACAAAATACACAGTACTAGCTAAATTAGTATCAGCAGCCACTGAGAAATAGCAAATGAAAGAGACAAGAGGCCAAAGGATACGTGGTCGAGAAAAATAGAAACAGGAGGAAACTATGGGTTAAAAAATTAGTACAAAAAGGGTGATTCTGAAACAAGCAGCCTACGGAATTTTCCAGACAATTCAGTTGATCACACAGTCATAAAACAAGTTCTAATTAAGAACAGCCCCTTACACTGGGAGCCTACATGGAAATTATTGACCTTGACAGTTCTGTACAATGTCGAAGACAAGAGAATAGCAGCAAAGTTACTCATTTCATCATGCTATTCTTAAAATAAACTTTGGTTACTATGAAAGTCACAGTGCTAAATTCTCAGAGCTCTAAGCACAATCAGTGGAAAGTTTTTGGGAGGAAGTAAGGGCAATGGAGGAGGCAAATGCAATGAAGCACAAAGATTGATTCACTGGAACAAGATCCAATAACTCGAATCAAAACTTCACGCTGCAAATTATTCTTCCCACAGACTGAAATATATACCAGCACCACAAATAATACAGTTCCTCTCTACACAAGATTAATTTAGGTTTATAATGAAAAAGCGCTACATAATTCATAGAATCATAGAATGGTTAGACCTTAAGATCATCCAGTTCCAACCCCATGCCGTGGGCAGGGACACCTTACACTTAGACGAGGCTGCACAAAGCCCCGTCCAAGGCTTTGTGCTGCACAAAGCTTCATCCAAGGATGAAGCATCCACAACTTTTCTGGGCAACCTGTTCCAGTACCTCACCACCCTCACAGTAAAGAGTTTGTTCCTCACATCTAACCTAAATCTACCCTCCTTAAGATTAAAGACATTACACTTTGTCCTATCCCTACATGCCCTTGTAAAAAGTCCCTCTCCAATTACATTAGAACTTCACATTTGACCAATGCTTTGAAACTTTTTTTTCCCCCCTGAATATAAGAGTAATCTGGGCCATGCAGGAAGAATGCACAACCAAAATTTACTGTATTACCAAGGGAATGAAAGAGCTGCTATTAAAAGTGTCTGAAATACTAATGCTGAGGCAAGATCTGCTAAGTAGGGCATTGTCATTACATCTAATGGAGCTGGGAAACTTCCCACAGATTGTTTTAACACTCCCAGGCACCTCTCTCATTTCTGTACACATATTAAGGACACTTCGGCTGCAGAGCAACACATGTGCTCACCTGGATTTGATCTGAAGCAATTGGACCTCCTGAGCCATGACAGAGACTGTTTCCAAACAAAGGAGAGGCTGCTAGTGGACACACTGAACTGCAACCTCTGCTTCCATTAAAATGAAAGCTAGGGAAAGGGGGTGGAATTTTGCATGTGCCCTTTTCAACCCTGGTTTGCAAGGCTTAGACCTACACTGATATTCCTTCTCCCAGGATGTACAAGAGGTAGACAGTGTCCCTACCTAAGAAAGTAGAGAAATCTGCAACAGAACTTACAGCTTTCCATATCTTTCCTTTTATGAACTTCACCTGTTCTATAAACCTGCTAGACTGGGGTCTGTGTGGCCAGACAAACACAGCTTCTGCCAAACAGAAACCACCAGAACTCCATTTCTAGCCAAAGTTCAAGCCAGCAAAAATTAACAGTGAAATCCCAAGGCAAGCATGGATATAATTGTTTTATGAGCCATACTGACATATTTACATGAAATTAAGAACTACCTAACTGCTCTGGTAACAAGATCGTTAGCCAGAAAATCTCCCACTAAGCCTTGGACAGGCTTTGTCTGGTAGAATTTTTGTGTATTCGTTACAGCTCACAACTTTGGTTCAGTCCTGTCAAAGAATAAATGCTTGTGTCAGGTCTTTGTTGGGGGTTTCACATGCCTTTAGGGATTGCAGTAGATTTCTCTCCCCTTAATTCACAAATACCTGTGTTTCAGATCTGGTAGGCTTAGCAACCGAGAGCAAAGGACAACATTGATGCTCTTTATTTTCTAAGGGGAGGGGGGGAAGAGGGGAAGAACAAAACCCAGAACACCACCACCAGGTAGTAAATAAAAAACAAAACAAAAACCAGCTATCAACCTTCCAACAAGCAGAATAAGCAGCCTGCCTGTTCCTGCAAAGCAGTTACCATTTCCTCACATCTGATCTCACTCTGTGCATTTCTGGAACAGAGATGTCCACTTGGACACTCAAGGTTTTTATTTTTTTTTGCCAGATTATTTCATACATGTGATATTCCTCTCAAAGAGAAAAAAAAATAAAGATGAATTCTGATCTAACTTACAGGTGGCACTACAAAGAATCAGTTTGCACAAACCTCACTCCAGGGACCTACTAATAGGAAGGAGGAGATAACCTGCATACCAGGGCTCCTTACAGACCTGCCTTCAAAATGCTCAGTTGCCAAGGGAAGAGGGCTGCGGGTGAGCAAACACTCCAGGTAACAGCTATCAGCCCACCCCAGCAGCTGAGGCCAACCTGGCATCACAGGAGCAACAATTAAGCAAAACCCACTCAAAGAGAAATACAAACATGCTTTCAGTTAACAAGTTTCTAGGCCTTCATAAAGGCAAGTAAATGCATTACCCCACTGCTCCTACTATCAGCACTTTCCCAAAGAGCAGCAAAATGAATTTAAGAAGCAAGATGCTCATGTCTGGCTGGTGAAAGACTAAGGAACACTCCCTGTCAATTCAACCTCCCCAAACCCCTCAGCAGGTGGTACAGACCACTGAACAAGTGCTTGTGGAAATCCATTAATTAATCCCAGCCCTGCAGATGACCACTCTCACATCAAGGTTATGCCTTGCCCTGGACTTCACGTGTCACTTCCTCCCTTCCCTCTCATTTAAGCATTCTCATAACGTCCTGTTTACTTATACATACACACACAGAAAAGACACACAAAACAGACTACTTGAAAATTAAAAGTGCATAGGTTAAGTTCACTGTTTACCACTATTAAGAACAATCCTTTTCAAACCCATTGCTGAAGTTGCTAGGATGGGGAATGAATAGATAATTAGGGCACCCCAAACCCCCTTATATTTTAACTTAAATAAAGCATTAAGCTTTCAAATAAATCAGATTTCAAATAAATAAACAGCTTGACCTATGTAGGTAGAATTTTGTATTATATACGTAGCTTAAACATGATTCATGGCGAGAAACTGCTCTGAATTCATGGATTTGCATGCAACATCTTTACTTTTCAGTAATCTAGCAGTTCATACTAAATGTTCTCAGTTAAAATTTGAACACACTGTGCTTAATTTGACTATGCTGTGAAGTAGTAAATCTGGGTAATAGATGTAACCCGAACTGATTTTAGCAGGCAATATCCAAGTTACCTAGCATATCAAGAATCTGGTTTCATCTCATTTCCTATCTATTATTTTAACACTGAAACCTTCCCCCTGGAAAGAAAATTACTTAGCTTGCAGTAGTTAGAGAATACAAAATGCTGATTTACAGCATCATTTTAATATTGCACTGGCCTGAATACTCTGCTCAATTGTGTTTCCAACCAAAGGGTTTGTCAGGAAGGAAGTCTTTTTAACCCAGTAATTCTCCAGCCAGTTCTTGAGATCCAATACTACTCTACAACATCTGCTGACTACTTCAAGTGACACCCAGAAGCTGTGAACAACTGAAGCACAACAGCTCTCCCCACTCTAGGAGGGTCACACTACAGCAGAAGCTTCATCTGCAAGGCTAGGAGCTTGGACTCCAGGGGGACTCTGCTCCCAGCTGCATGGGTCCAAGCTTCCTCTGTCCTGCAGTAATACAGGTAAATAAATGAAACAGTCGAGGTTCTTCTCAATCATTACAAGGAAACAGTTAAAGGACCTGCTTAAAAAGAAATTTTAAGTTGCTACAGCTTTTATGGACAGAGATTGAAGCTCTCGAGATGAATACCTCAGCATACGTAGCTTTATACACAGCAATTTTAAAAATTTGATGTGGGCGTTAACCCCTAAAAATTGTGTGGATTTTTTCTTAAATAAAAAATTTGGTATTCAGTGATCTATTCATTTCAATCAGATGATTTTGTCAGAATTAAGCAAGCACTTCAGAACGGTACAGGACCAGGACTGCAGAAGAGGGGAAAGAAAGTGTGCTGTAACAAAGTGGCAGATCAAATCACTTTTTTAGAGGATCTCTTACACTAAAGAACATACAAGTTACTGTTAAACGTTTAAAATATTTCACCATCTGGTTTGCTTTGTTTTGATTTCACAGACTTAGCAGACACAACTGAGGCGTAACACACAGCCGAAAACAAAACCTTCAGACAAAGCACTCAGGAAGAGATGAGGGTCTGAAACTGTCATCATCAGCATGATGGTACACAAAAAGGGGACCCTCCATGCTCTTCTTTACTTTCTCCTTTAAGATGACTAAAGAGAAGAGTAAGTTTATAAATTTTACATGATTACTCTTGAAGAACACACCAATCATCTAAAAGTAGAAAGAAAAGCAAGACTAACCCCCTTCCAAAGTCAAGTTTAAACTAACTTTCAATACCACTGTGGTGTACAGTCTCTTCAGCTCTGAGGGTACACCTTGCTGCTTGCCCAAGACACGCAGCCTCTCTCATGTGCATGAGCCTACCCTATACGGATTTAGCAGATGTATGCTACAAATACCAACCAAACTGAGTAGAAATCTTGTCAATTTCTTTCTTTCCAATGTAATTACTTATATGAAGTAGTTTCAAGAGATCTGGCAAGACCACTTAAAAATACAACTTTCCCTCCCACTCCAATCACTTTAAAAACACAGGCACTTCGAAACTGTTATGTTCTCCACAGATTCTGCTAACCAGTACATTGGTGCTTCTTTCCAACATCACAATATAGTCTTGAAAGCTAGAGAGCAGCTCTAACACAACGCCACCGAAAAGGCACCTTGAAAACCTGCCATCCCCCCACAAACATGGTAGCGCCACTAGCAAAAGCAGCTAAGGGGGGATTACTTTTACTGCTGTTAGAAGAGAAAGAAACACAGGTTTCGAACCGGGAAAGGAAGCAACCTCCACCAGTGACCCCAGCCACTATGATGCAAGCCATCCTTCCAGCCAGAGCTTCTTCCTTGGCCATACGGGAACTCACCGCAAAGACGGCATTCTGCAGCCCAAAGGGGATCGGCGTCAGCCGTGCCAGAGCCACCACCTTGAGGCCGCTGCCGCCCTCCACGACACGGACGATGGCACTGAGTGTCTCGCTGCCCTGGATCCTGGCCCGCGCCCA